TTTATTTATTTATTATTATTATTTTTTTTTTAAGTCTGTATCTCCTAAAATTTAAAAGTCAGTTTAAAATAAAATATTTTCTTACAATAACTAGGAAATATTAAAAATGTAAGTTTGACAAGAAGCCAAGGTCAAACTCTCTCTGTTTGCTCCATCCCTTCCATTTACACGTCCAGACTCTGAACTCCACTTTATCTAATCGATTATCTCTTTAATGGCACCGACTGTCACAACTCCATAGATGGATCTTCAGGCGAACAGCTGCGGGACCGCGACCAGATTCGTCGGAAAGAGGCACGTGACGGCCCACGCAGCGCATGACTGTGACGTCAAATACCGGAGCCCTCTCGCGCCTCTAAAATGAAGTGACCTTTCTTTTTCGCCCTGTTGCAGGATCGGTCCGCCGACAGGCTCGAGCAGAGTACCACATCCCACAAGACAAGGAGCTTCCTCACACGGTCTGAAAGGTAATATAATCAACCCGACCACATCGTGTTTTGTTCGCTGTGTTGGTGATAACAGATGTGTTATTTAAACGAAAAGGAGGATTTTGAAGCGCTTCTGAGGAAGGATGGCGTAAGGTTGCGTAAGTTAACCGGTACTCTTCAAGAACAGTTGTATGTGAAGGGAGGAATATATAGGGTTTAATATCAATCTCTGTGTTTTTGTAATTCGAACAGATGGAAGGCTCGTTTTTGGTAATTGAGCGGTAATAAACGTTCAGTAATTCATGGGAAAGTATGCTTTGTGGGAAGCTAAGCAGATGTGGCTAGCTGTTCGCTTCCGCAACGTGGATCTGACGCCGGTTTACGACTTTTGCGGTGTTCTTCAGACGTGTAAAGCTTATCTGAGAGTCTGTTGGTAAGTTAAATTGGGATTTTGTCACACATACGCCGATCCTGCTTCTTATTAATGATAAGCTAGTTCTCACAGGCGGGTACCTAACGAGCTATACTACAGTGATTAAGGCTTCTTTTAATGAAGGCGATTTAAGGTTATCCTCGGATGAACATCTTAATTGTGAGATGTTTACAGATACGAGTTGACAGAGATTGGATGTCGAAGGAAACCTAAACCATCTAAGTTACCTAGAAACCAACAGCAGCTGCTTTACTTCTCTATGAACTAATTTTATAAGCTGCAGAGCTTAATTTGGTCGATTTATGTCTTGAAGCTCATGGGTTAAGCATGTAGATGCTCCATCCTTAAATGACCTTATGATGATCTGTCGACTGCTTTTAAACCGTTTACCCTTCAAATGCCTTTCTGCAGTGTTTTCACATCTCCTTTTCTTCTAGGTAAATATGGGTGATGTTGATAAGGGAAAGAAGGTTTTCGTCCAGAAGTGTGCCCAGTGCCACACAGTTGAAAACGGAGGCAAGCACAAAGTGGGGCCAAATCTTTGGGGTCTTTTTGGACGCAAGACTGGTCAGGCAGAGGGATATTCCTACACAGATGCCAATAAGAGCAAAGGTTAGGCTTACTGATTAAAAAGCAGTGCGTGTGCTTTTCACAATTAGATGTAATGGCAATCTTTATCAAATTTTTCTTTTCACAGGCATTGTCTGGAGTGAAGAAACCTTGATGGAATATTTGGAGAATCCCAAGAAGTACATTCCAGGCACAAAGATGATCTTCGCTGGGATCAAGAAGAAGGGCGAGAGGGCAGACCTTATTGCATACTTAAAGTCAGCCACATCATAATACAGCTGGAGAACGGGAAGACCGCAATATTTAAATTAAATTTTTGTAGTTTGGCTTTGAATTTGTCTTTAACAGTATCTATTCGAATGGTGTGACCGATCAAGTGGCCAGGATTATTCATTATAACATGTGGCATGCTTCTAATGCCAGTCCATTTTAGCAGTGAGGATTTCCACTTCTTTGTTTGTCCAAGTAATGTTAAAATGAGTCGAGTTACTGCGGATCTCCAGTGTTTCCACTGAGGGAATGAAAACTGCCCCCTGGTTTCACAGGAGCTATTGTACATTAAATTATTAAATTGTACTGAATTCTTAAAGTATTTAGATCACAATGAGTGACTGAACAAGCAGCATGCTTATTGGTAACTAATTGTATCAGATGGATTTGATCTGTCAAATAAAATGGTAAAAATAGTCAATTTTTGTCATGTCTGTTCTTTTAGCTTTTCATGTTCTAATGCACTTGCCTGCTGATGTTTCTGTTTGTGCGCTTTAGTGATAGCTCACCATATCTTCAGTTTTAGCTTTTGAGTTTCAATCCTCAATGTACCAAGCAGACCCTTAAGGAGTCAGACAACTGATGACACTGTGCTTGAGACCTTTAAACTCCGGATATAAAGCGTAAGGTATGCTGTTCTTCCTCTTGAGAAATCTCAGGACAAGTTCTGACAATGTCCTGGCAAAAAGTTACGGCAAGTATATCAAGGGTTTCGTGACGGTTTGCCTAGAACTTTCCTAGAAAGTTTGCTTTTTCTTTTCTTTTAATCATGATCATAGTTCAATATAAAAGGTGTTCTTGACTGATAGATAATGGGAGCATTGGTCCTCCCATGAATATTGAAGCTTTCATGTCCGGAAACTGACCATCTGTTGCACTGCTATCAAAGATAAATTATAACATTATTATTGAACAAAATTATATTACTGCAAATTGAATACCACTGAAGTGCTCTCCGATTCAATTATTAATTTTGACAATTGAGAAACCAAATGTTTTGTGTTCTCCATTTTCAGATTCATTACATCCAAATTATGGATATAGATCTAGAGTAACTAACAGCAAAGTACAATCATTCATGGATATAAGCATGGACACTTAATTTCATCTTTAGCCTGTACTGGTTGTGACCTGGGTACTAAGGTCATAAGGGTAGTTTAATGAGTATTTTACCTTAAATCTCAAACAAAAGTTACCAGGAAAGACGTGCTATCTATAAAGTCTGGAAGATCGCATATAAATTAATTGCGTAGCCCAACTGTCTTTATCAGCCTCAGCTTTGATTGGACTTGAACATTATACATAGGTAGGCTACGTGCAGTACACATCAAAGAACAAAGTCCAAACAGAGATCCGAGTCTTCAGAAAGTGCACAGCTGGTCACATATATATGCCGGTATATATATGCCGCCACCTACAGGACACCGAACGTTACGCAACGATATTTTTAATTGAACACTAAAGGTTGCACGATCAACATGCACTGTTGTTGAAACACGTAAGACATGGTGCCTAAAATTTGTCTATATTCTGTATTAATTATTAATGTTAGGTTAAATGTTGTTTGAATAAACGTTTGGTTAAAATATAATCCATGCGTTTACAATACACCAGTGAAATATATTAGCATTTTCGGTTTATTGTAGTAATTTCGGTGCTGCGACATTTAATATAAATATATGTAGGCTATGTTATATCCTGTTTATTTAAAGCTTTACGAATAGAATATCTTGTTGATTTATGCCTGACATAAACAGAGCAAGTACACTGCTCGTCTGTGTTTGTCATTGAGAGGAACCTCTGTCATCGTGTATGTCGAAGATGTAGCAGTGTGTTAGGGTTACAGTGTCTACAAACACAGTATCGTTTCACTTCTCTTGTTTGACCTACAATTTATGAGCGGGCTGTGAACACAGGGATGGCCTTGTGAATATGTAAGAGTAATAGATATATAAAGCAATTAAAAATATATATATTTTGTGTTAATTACATCAACATTCTCAAGGTGAAAGTGTCTGATACAGGAACTGAGATAAGAAAGACATGAGCTGGGAGGGATCAGAGGACACAGAACTCCACTAGAGGACAGCAGTCAGCTATAATTCATTTTTTCTTTCTTTCTTTCTTTCTTGTGTAAAACTGTATATGTTAACTGCCATAAAAATAGAGGTGGAAAAATAGAAGAGTTACAGTTACAAAACTGTCTTTTACATGCACACTGGCTAAAAAAGATGTTTATTATTATTATTATTATTACTATTATTATTCCTATCTGTTAATTGAGAGACTACGTGAAATATTTGTACTTTTTAAAAATATATTTAAAGGCAAAAATATGAATGAATATGAAAATAATATAAAAATAGCAAAGAATTTAAGAATTCAAAGGAAATTCATATAAATTCAACCCACAATCTTTGAAATTACAAAATGATGTTAATGGATGGTTGTTGGTGAAGTTTGCAGCCAAATACGACATACTGCATTAAATGCAGCATATTTAACAACTGCAAACACTATTTTGCTTATGGGCTTCATGGATAACATTCATAACAGTCAGCAGATTAGTCTCTTTGATGCAATACATTAAAAAACTGTGAGAGGTTAGCCTCTTTAAAATACATTGTGTGCCATGAATTCACCAAATGACATGATATTTGTGAGACTGACTGACTGGCTTCTGCAAAGTATAACGTTACGTAAACCTTTTTAGTTCCAGCAGCACTTAGCAATATTAACCATTTTGAGTTCCAACAGAATATTACAAGCCAAGAAAACAAAATTTGTGAAAACACTTGTGAAAATATGCTTGACAGGGTAAATAAGAAAAACAAAACACTTTGTTCAAAAGATAGAAGATTTAATAAGTTCCAAAATCTGCAAGCTGTTAACCATGGAGGTAATTTGAATTATGATGACATCATCATAAAATCATTATGATGACATCATTGAATTATGATGACGTCATCATTCATTGTTGACTGCGTGTCTTCTTTGTATATTGTTCTTTATGCTGTTAATATTTTTTGATAATAACTAAATTACATATTTTTATAAATATGGAGGGATTCGGTTAAAAAGTCAAATTGATGTCAACATCTGAAATACTAACAAAATTATGTTAACAAAAAACATATTAATCCATGTTAAAGTATACATTTCAAACCCGTCATGAAACTCGTAAAAACCAAGCCTTTATTTTCTCTGGGATCAATAGAGATTTGATGGGTGGAGCTTCCAAAGCAAAGTTCTGTAATGCACTGACCACACACTCACACAGCCAGAGTGGACCACAGAACTTTCCCCGAGGAGCCATGCTCGAATGTGTGTGTTTCTCTGTTATAAGTGTGTCCATATGTGCATGTTAACTTGTGTAGGTATGCAACTTTGGCAGATGAAGCCTATGCATGCATTTTCGTCTTTAAAATCAAACATTTACTGCAATCATTTGGGCTTCAGTCAGTTCGCTTGCAGTTGCCTTGGTTGAGAAGGTTGCCCACTGAGGACCAATCAGCTCTAGGGGTTCCTGGGAAGTAAAACACATGTTAGAATTGATGTCCAGAATAAGCTGACGTGTCTCCATGCATTAACAACTTCAAACTGTTGCAACAATATTTAAGAGAATCCTAATTTGACACAGCCTGTAAAGGAGGTCTTATTTTATACAACCCATGAAGGTCTATTTTGGCATGTTGAAACAAGAAAAAAAATACAATAAAATATCCAAGAATATATGTGCAATATATGGAAACATACACATATATTTTTCCTCCTAATGTGTAACATTTCAATTCACCAATTCAGTTTTCAGAAGCAAATCTTCTACAATGTAGCCTACATACTGGCCTATATGTGAATTTGTGAACAGCTGATCGTATTTAAAACAACAGTCATCCATATTTTAGATGCTCAGCTTTTGTATCCAAAACTTCTCAAATGACTTTGTAAAATAGTTTAAGCTTGGCATCACTTTAAGAACTGCCTAAAGCAGTATAATTTAGTGCGCACGCTTTTCTGAGTTTAGTGCATCGCCTCTAAAAACATAAACTAGAGGCCAAAGCCACTAATGAAAGTTTAATTCTGGACTGTAAAGTGTCTGCTTACCTCACGGTTGACCGGTGGCTCTCCTGGCTGAGCCTCGAAACAGACTGAATGCATCGCTGGACCCCCGCGCGCGCTCTCTCTCTCTC